ATTTTATATTTTTAAAACGATAAATAATTTCTACCGGAACCAAACCAAGCGCGGACGGCCTGACGTCACATCCGTTTGAGCTTACAGAGAAAGCGTGCTGTCGGCGTCATGCTGAAGGTGACCAAGGTGCTCCAGGTGTGTGTCCGCCGCCAGCTGTGGAGGAGCCTGTGCTCCCCCGCCTCCGCCGCCGCCGCCGCCTCCGCCGCCGCCGCGAGCGACACGCAGCCGCCGCGGCGCGCTCCGAGCTGGACCCAAGTCCCGAGCTGCACCGTAGACCCGGACCTGGAGGAGCCGTTCGTGTTCCTGGACTGTTCAGGTGAGAGGATCCGTGTTCAGATGAACATTTTTCTGCTTCTAAAACGTTCTTTCAACAATTCATGAATCAAAACGTTCAGCTCCTTCATGTGAGGACTGCTAGGACTTTTAGTATTTCAGCTTTTAATTTTTTTAGCTGTTTCACTTTTTTTAGCCACTTTTTTTTTACCATTGAAAATGAACAGAGCTGTTTTCATCCTTAAACTCCTTTAAATGTTTCTAAATCTTTTCAGCACCTTCTGTTTCTGCTCTTTTTCGCTTTCTTGTTCTAATTTTAGCTACTTTTTAAACTAATTGTAGTTTTTTCTGCTATTTCAGCTAAAATTCTGCTTCTTTCCATTCTTCTTCTTTTTTTCTGCTGTTTATGCTTCTTACAGATGCTTTTCTGCTTGTATGTTCAGCTATATGCTGAAGTTTTAGCCAATGTTTAGCTGCTATTAGCTAACGTTAGCTTTTCTAAGCTAAATACACAATTTTTTATTTATTTTATAAAATCTATTTTATTTAAAAACAAAAAAGCACAATATCATTAAATGAAAAGGAGCAGAGAGAANGTCTCACCTGTCCTCGTCTCACCTGTTCCCATCTCACCTGTCTGCAGGTTGGGTAGCCGTGACGGCAGTGAAGGGGGACCAGGTTCAGCTGAGGGTCCACGGTCCGGCGGCGGCAGGCTTCAGGTTGAGGAGTCCACCGCTGCTTCCTCACATCGTGAAACTGAAAGGAAAGCGAGTTCCTCAAGCCAGCTACCAGAAGATGGAGGTCACCGGGAGGCTGCAGGGACTGTCCGCCGCCGGCGCCCAGARGCTGCAGGTCATGAAGAAGAAGTGAGTGGACAGGACGGGGCGGGACATTTATCTTGCACACTCGTGTGCTGCAGGGGGTGGAAGCTCCGCCTCCGAAGACTGAGCTCGAGGTTTACCTGTCGTCACACAGACAGGTAAACCTCTCCGGCTCCATGTTGATCATGTCGTCATTTAACTAAGAACATTCTGCAGAAACGTTAAAACAGTTTTCTTTAAGGAGTTCCACTTTTGTAATCAATTTATGACAGACTCTTATTTTGAAAGTGCATCCGAGCTTTACTTTGAKACTCTAGGTTCAAATCATCCAGCTTTTTTTTCTCTGCCTTTAAAGTGTCTGTGACGTCWAATTTTTGTAATACATATGAATGCYTTTTTAGAAAGAGAACACTGAGAACATATTGCAAAACAAATTTCATGTCACTGAGATGAACAGTTGTTGAGATATTTGCATGTGAAGTAACAGGAAGTGATGTCAGAGGGGAATGTCTGCATGTAAACAGAGCAACAACAGCTGAAAACAGACTAGAGACYAATCTGTTTCTTTAGATTATTTTTAGACACTATCAGACAGATGAACACTGAGTTCAAATTGTTTTAATAAAAACAAGACCAAAGAGTTTTCTTTGTTAAAGAGCTCCCCTTMGATGTCACTTCCTGTTTCTGATGTCACTTCCCGTTTCACATTAGCTGAGCCACATTCAAAAGAAAATATGCAGTTATGGGACAAAATAGGTAAAATCATGTGTGTTGTTCCAACTTTCTTAAATATAAAGATGTTTTCTTTGACTTTATGTATTTGAAGGATATGCGTCACAGGCTCTTTAAAGTTTTACAAGGAGAAAACGTTTGATTTCAGAATAAAAGTCAAGTTGTTATTTTTTTTTTCAGACAAATAAAAAAAGTGCAAATATTAAAAACAATAATAATAAAAAACACACTGTTTCAAACATCAAAGACTTTATTATTAAACATAAATCAGAGTTTATTTGTTTGTTTATTTGTTTATCAGTGTTAGAGAACCTCTGCAGGTCCGTCACATTGTGTTGGTTCTGATCCATCAGACAGGAAGTCTCACCTGTCCTCAGGTGAGACTTCCTGTCCTGAGCAGAACCAGATGATCCGAGCCGGTTCCTGGTCTCAGACTCCAGGTGGTTCTGATCCAGTGTTTGTATCAGAACCTGAAGGTTCTGTCAGGTTCTGCTCAGACATCATACGGCCTCTCCTCCTCCTGCTCCTGCTCCTCCTGCTCCTCCTCCTCCTCCTCCTCCTCGGTCTTCTTGGTGAAGGCAGACGACAGCTCCTGCAGGAGGAGCTCCTCTGAGAGCTGCTGCCTCTTCCTCACTGCTCCTCCTCCTCCGGCGCTGCCCGTCTCCGGCGCCTCCTCGGCACCGCCGGCCGTCCGGACCTCCTCCGGGACCACCATGTGCTCCAGGTGTCCYGTTTCTGACAGGACCAGTCTCAGCGGCATCTGGTCCGGGACCTCCTGGGTCTCTGCGACTCTGCTGGACCGGAAGCTGGTCTCCAGGGACTTCAGGACCTGCAGGCCAAAGTCCCCAACCTCCTCGTAAAGCGGCTCGGGAAGGTCCGGAGACTCGGGCCGCTCCTCGAACGAGTCCTGCTGGACCTTCATGGGCTGAGGACACAAACGGAGAACGGGTCAGTTCTACACAGGTTCTGGTTCCTCCCAGCAGAACCTTCTAAAGAACTCACAAAGTACATGGAGAGGGTTCTCCGGTCGTGGAGCTTCCTCTGCAGACAGAAACAGAAGATGTGAGGCGAGGCTCTGCAGAACCCAGAACCGGTCCGCTTTGACCCGGTTTGGGGATTACCACTAGGGCTGCAACTAACCATTATTTTAATAATCGATTATTTGTTCAATTAATCGGCCAAATCATTAAAACACTTAATTACAAAAATGTAAGTAGATATAAATTAATTTAATTCCTGTATAAATTAAGGATGCAAGTTAATTAATTAATTAATTAATTAATTAATCTGAAGTTTATTTATCTTATAGATTGACTANAATAAAACCAGTTTTGAGGTCGTTTAATAAACTGGTCCACAGTTTCAGACCCTGAACTGAAGTTCGTCTCTCTTTCAAGCTTGTTCTAATTTTTGGTAAAACAAACGTCTCGAATCCGTTCAAATTATAAACACTTTTCCTTTTAGGAAAATAAAATTGTATTTCAGAAAGTAAAGCATTGTTATGAGCTTTATACGTCATCAACAAAATTCTATAATTAACCAGATCATAAAACTTCAATAATCTCACCTGACTGAACAAAACATGAGATGGATGACAACAACAACAACAACAAGGCTTTCCTGTCAAAATTCTCACGGCTCTTTTTTGCTAAACAAAAACAGGAAATGTAAAAGTTTTACAAGCTTTTCCCCAAACTTCAATGCAGTAAGTTAAATGAGGTTCAATAATGTAATTTTTTGTAGCTGTTACAAAATTTTTCAACTGAGTTCAGGAAACCTGTGCTCCTTATACTTCCTTATGCTAATTTWAAAAAAGTCCAGCTYCMTTTTTGCTGTTTTATTGAAAATTTCAGCTATTAYTGCTGGGCGATATGCCGTTTTGTACCGAAAACCGGTTTTTATTTTTGTTATGATATGACTTTTCTGAATACCGGTGTAAATAGCCTGAACACCTGCGACACGTTTCATCACGGCCACCAGTGAGCTGTTTCCCTGGGGACATGTTTCCTCGCTGCAKTGCTAAGCGCATTAGCATGCTAACGTTATTGTTGGYACAACTGGCGGCGGGTGGTGTGTTTCAGCCACTTGTATGGTCTGACTTAAAAAAATCCCATTTTCACCAAAGCTGCATAGTAAACAACTCTTCAGTGTTGTGCA